GCTTTCTCCCCGCCTGTCACTGGGAGAATTGCTTGAGGAGGTGCTCTACAAAATAGAAAATGGACTCAAACAAGAGCTCACAGGTCCAAGGAATAGTGGACCTGGTCCGCAAGTGCGATGCCAAGAAATCCCTGGTGCTAGCTGAGCAGTGGGCCCAGGAAGCAGCCAGCTCAGATTACAACAGCAAGTGCAAGAGCTCTGGGGAGAATGTTTGTAAGGAGGAAGAAATGAATTTCCTACAATAGACTGTAATAGTGAAAAGATGGCGCTCTTACTAAGACCCTAAATAAATTAATTTATACGTAATATTGTTTTTTTTCTCTGTCCCCTCTTGAAGTTTTTGTTACCTTTATTTCCTTTGAGGTACAAAGATCTTCTTTTATATATTTTCCCCCTGCAATTAAATTTAAAGTACTTGGTCTTGAATGTGGGTAAGTATAATATTGGAAAAGCAGTTAATGGATCTCCTGGATTTTAGAATCTCTCTGTACGCAACATAGGGAGACCTTAACTAGAGTCACAGAATAGAGTGCGTATCCAGTAAAAGAAGGTAAAAAGGAAATGGGGTGAAGACAGGGATGGAAGAGCAGCAGAAAGGGGCTGTCCTAGGTCCCTTCTCAGGGACAGTTAGAGATGGAGGTTGGTATACAGGGGTCCCCGGTGGTGTATTCTTGGCCTGGCACCAGCAGGGGTGTGAGGAGGCACGGTTGGGAGAGAGAGAGAGAGAGAGAGAGAGAGAGAGAGAGAGAGAGAGAGAGAGAGAGAGAGAAAGTGAGACAGAGACAGAGAAAGAGAGACAGAGACAGAGAAAGAGAGACAGAGACAGACAGACAGACAGAGAGACACAGAGACAGACAGGCAGACAGACAGAGAGACAGAGAGAGAGGCTGTGCTGTGGCTGTGCAGACCCAGTCCCAGGACAAGGGCTGTCTGTGCAGGGGAGCATCGCCTGCATCTTCCAGGGCAGCGCATATGAGCACAGGCAGCTTCCCAGGACAGTCTGAGCTGTGAGCTATTGGGTGCTAGGACACATCATGACAATGCCCTGTCCCTAAGAGGGAATGAGTCCTAGGTCCCTTCTCAGGGACAGTTAGAGATTGAGGTTGGTATACAGGGGTCCCCTGTGGTGTGTTCTTGGCCTGGCACCAGGAGGGGCGTGAGGAGACAGGGTCCATCTCACAACATCTCCAGAGTGTTGGTGAGAACCCAGAGGCTCGAGTTCTTTCATCAGGCACTGTGGAGTTTAGACAGGGACAGCGTCTGAGGTAGACAGCCTCGGTTTTCTCTGACTCCTTTGTGTGACCAAAGCACCCCCTCCTGCCTCCGCCTGCCCAATCTGATCATCATGTGCCTAATCAAAGGCTCCATGTAGGGGACTTTGAGAGATGCTGAGTGGCTAAGAGTCAGAGTCTGGGAGGAAGGTTCAAGAACTCAGCACATCTGGGAGCCGATGGTGGAGATGAAAGCCAGGGATGCCAGAGGATGTGGCAACTGAGCTCACAGAACCAGGTGGATGGTGGGTCAGGCCAAGCCAGCAAGGTGTGGCATGTGGGGAAGGAGACACTTCCTTGCTTCTGATGGAGGGTGCTGGAAGGTACACACCCTGACCTAGAACAGGGAGGTGCGTGCAGCTGGAACCTTTGCTTCCTGCCCCTTCCTCTTATTTACTCAAGGGAAATGTTTTTGCTTATGCATTACTGTCCCTGTCAGGTTTTGTCTGAATCTCAAACGGACCCACTGCTTGCTTTCTGCCCACATCACTGGGGTCTGGAGTCTGCTTGCATAGGCTCTGATGGCCACCACCCGTAGTCCCTGAAGTCACACCACAGCTGGAAACCTGGGCATGGTGGAGCACACCTACCCCATGCAAACGGTTCGACAGTAGTGCTTAATTTCTGCTGTTTTGTTGTTATTTTTGTGGTACTGGGAGTGGAACCCAGAGCTTTCACACTGAAATACATCCCCCTACTCAAGTGTTTTTTATCTTGAGACAAGGTCTTGCCAAATGGCTAAAGTTTCCAGACTTGGGTAGAACTTGCCATTCTTCTGCCTCAGCCTCCCAGAATGCTGGGATTAACAGGTAGGCATGACTGTGCCAGGCTTTCCTTGCTGTTATATACTCACCAGCACCCTATTGTTCTCCAGGATTGGTCTCACGACCTGGCAGACCTAGTGTAAAATAAAAACACCATGTCTCTTGTTCAGAAATTGAGACTGTCAAGACAGACAGCAGAGCCTTGACCCGAGTATGGATCCTTCTGAGCATGGGCCTTGTGAGACTTCTGTGTCATGTGCCTGCTGGTCCACTCCCTTATCCACTTTGGTCTCCCCAGCAGAATTCTAAGTGGGTAGAGGCCAGTCTATTGTTCCTGGTATCTCCAGGGACTGGCCACAGTCGATGCCCATCAATGAGCCGTCCATGGTTGTTGAGTAAGAGGCCTCCCAAGTCTGGTGGGGCCAACTGTCCCCAGCTTCACCACCACCAATGAGCAGGAGGACTAGTTTTTGTGGCTTCTCAGCTGATGGCAGAATCTTGTGACCTTCAGCTCCAGAGATTTCGCTGGAACTGCAACAACCCAGCATGCAGGAATAGAGGTCAAGGAAAACCAGTAAATCAAGACAGATGGCAAGGCTGAGGTCATCCCTTCACTCAGTGTCTCCTGGTGCCCATGGCACAGAAGCACAGGGACAGGGCTGACAAGAGCAGAGAAACAGGTCATACCTGCCACACTCTGGGATCACTGGCACTGTGACTTTCTCCTTTGCTCAAGGTCCCAGGAATCAGCAGATCCCAGGCAGTGTCGTGCATGGTTCATGGTTCTAAGATGGGAGGAAGTCCCAGAGCACCCTCACCATGGCATCTTGTCCCCTTGTCTGTGGTCGCTCTCTCCTACGCTGACCATGCTGGGAAGTTCCTGAGAGGCAGGACTGCATCTCTCTCCTACCCCAGGTCTCAGTGCCAAAGGTGGCCTGGCACCAACTGGGTAGTCTGTGTGCTGCAGGACAAGGTGGTGAGTACAGAAAGGAAGGAGGCAGTGTGGAGAAGGAAATGCAGGTCAGCTCCAATCTGCTGGCAGGGGCAAGGAAAGGGGCACCAAATAGGTCCTGGGCATGAGCAGGAACCAACTTCCCCTCTCCATCCATCGACTCTGATCTCCCTAGATGTGTTCCAGGATTTCAGTTGAATTAGCTCCACCCTCAAACCCTGGCAGAGACCATGATTGAGGCTACAGCCAGGGCTTGCATAGCGAGTGAAGTCTGGGCCACATACATCTTTGGGAGAAGAAAGCATCAGGTGGATTATAAAATGGGAATAGTAGAGTTGGCTGCAAAATTGGTGGTCTGTTTTAAATGTTTAAAGCAAAATGATACTTTTTACATATACAAATGGGATACAATATGATGGTGCTTTCATAAGGTAGTCACAGGATCTATACAGATAATACTAATTTCTACAGCATGTCAAGTCCCTAGTAACAAGGGACCAGTTTCCAGTTGTAAATTTTTATCCAGAAGGATGTGTTTATAACATCATCCTGAAACAAGCCTTTGGTGATACTGAGGACCCCAGTGAACAGGTCCCCATCATTCTCTCTGTACCCCTGGCTTTACCAGGGGGCACTCAAGGAGAGCCGAATGTTACTGAGAATTTCCCCAAAACTTGGATTCTTTTTCCCCAGAAAGAGCCAATTAGGACAATAGAGAACAATTAGATTGACATGTGTCCACTCAGTGGCCAGTGAAAGTAGGAAGCCGGAGTCTAACCTTTAAATTGAGCCCCCTCCTGCCCCAATGAGCGAAGGAAGGAAGATCAGGTAGACTACAGGGAGAGTGCAGGAACCAGCAGACAGGTGAATGAGCAGAATATTATGATTCTTCCAGAAGCATCCCATTTTGTGGCCACGCCCCTCCCCAACAACATCTGACCATATTCAGTTTGTGTCTGGGTTGCCAAAGAAACTGTAAACCGTCATGGTGCCAGTGTGAAGGAACTTTACTATGGAAATGCAGTACAATGAGATGGGAATGAGGCTGAAGAACAAACACTGGCTAAGATGGCATACAAACCAGCTCAAACCAGTTTGGCCTTGCCCAAGCTAACCTTTGTTTTGCAGACCCCTTGGTCACAAGTCGTTTTTCTGTAGAGTCAAGTTGTGCCTTATGACTGCCTGTAGCTGGGCACACCCAGTGCACATGCTTATCAGGGGCACTCGGGTCTCAGGCAGGGAGAGGGACATAGCATAAAGTCCTTCCGCAGGCTCTTTCTGTCGGAGATTAGTGACATGCACCAAGGCGGTTCTGAAGTGTCAAGTGCCAGGGGAACCAGGGCAGTGCCAGCCTTAAAGGAGGCCAAGTCATCAAAAAGTAAATAACAACGTTAGAAAAGTGTGGGATGTAGCTAAGGCTTTATACAGAGGCAAATTTATAGCTTTCAATACATTTGCTAGAAAAAAAGAAACAGTGGATAAGCCAACTCTCAAAATTCAAGAAGAGAACACGAATGACCTTAGCCCAAAGAAATCTGGAATACAAAAATTGTAAAGATTAACGTAAACAGGAAATATAAAACATCATAGTTGAGGAAACAGGCTCAAAAAGGCAGAATAAATTGTTGTGGACTTCAGTGCCTAAGCTTTAGGGGCTCATCCTACATAGGGTCCATTCCTTGAGCCCTGGGGTGTTTAGTGGAGTGTTCAGAGAAGGGTGGTTTGTTTCAACAGCCTAGGAGTCCTGGTGGCTTCAGGGCCACCTTCTGGTTGCAAGGAGGAAGGGATAGTCTGAAAAAGTCGTGTATGCCTAGAAAGCAAACTCTGTGTTCTAAAAGATCTTTAAAAAGGCTAAGTTCTCAATAAGTTTAGTACTTATTTTTCTATTCACACTATCTAAAGTCTTGGCTGATAGTATGAAGATATATTTTGCCGAATTTTGAGGGATTAGATTTATAGATCAGGGGAGCTGGGATAGGAAAGCAGCTGAGAGTAGGGCCACCCGCGGCGCAGAGCCAAGGGGTCCCTGGGGTGGGACGCGGAGCGTGAGGGGCGCGGAACGCAGGGCGCGGGGACAAGCGGGGCACAGGGGCGCAGGGCGGGTCCCGGCAGGCGGCGCCCTCCTCCTCCTCTTCCTTTTCCTCCTCCTCCTGTGCTGCCGCTTGGCTCCCGCTCCCCCTCGCGTCGCAGCCGGCACTTTGCAACCTCCCTGCCCGCCGCGGCAGCTGCAGCTCCGCGCCCCGCCGGCCCGGCTCGTCCCCCGGAAGGGGGCAGCGGTCAGCGGCGCGCAGCGGCGAGGGGAGCGACCCGCGCGGGAGCTCGGGGGCGGGAGCTGAGGCGCGCCCGCCGCGCGGGGACCATGGCCGGCGCTGCGGATCCCCCGGGCAGGGCGGCTGAGTACCGGCAGGAGCTGACCCGGATCGTCGCGGCGCAGCAGGGGCTGCTGGCGCCCCGGCGGCGGCGCATCGAGGAGCTGGAGCGCCAAGTGGCGCGGCTGAGCCGCGAGAACGCCGGCCTGCTGGAGCCGCACCGGCGACACCTGGCCGCGTGCGCCCGCCGCGTCGACTCGAGCCCTGGACCCAGCCCCGGACCACAACCGCTTGGCGCCGTCCCGGAGCTCGGCAGCCGCCGCGACAAGTAAGCGGGACCCGGGGGCGCGCGAGATGGGCGCGCGAACTTCTTGAGGGGTTCTGCGTCCCTTGGGCTGGGCGAGGAGGGTATGTGGCCGGGGTGGGCCACCCGCGGACCCCTAGTGGAGTGGCGGCCCCGACCTGCACCCCACCCTGGCGCGGGCGGTTCCCGGGGCAAGGGGTTTCACCCGCGGGCTCCGCGCGGACGCACGGACGGCGCCAGACTAGAGCTGTGCGATCGCGGGGCGCGCCGACTCGGGCCAGGGTCCGCGTCCGCAGACTCACAGCGGGCTCTGGCGGCCGGTAGACGGCGCCTGATCTGAGCGCAGCCCACTCTGTTGGAGGGGGGGGGGGGCAGCGCGGTGAGGTTAGGTCCCGAGCATTAGCGCGTTTGGGTCGCAGGCGAGTCGAGGACCCCCCCCACCCCCCACCCCCAAAAAAAGAACCTGTGCTGGGTCCAGCCCCTGACTCCTGGTGCTCCGCCCCCTGGACGCCTCTGTGTCTCCTGTCTTCCTGAACTACCTGCTTAATTCTCTACCGCCTTCCTCCAGGATTACTCAGGCTATTGGGCTATTTCAGACCAAGGATTAAGCGGGGGCTGGGACAGGGAGGGACTCTCTGGCTGCCCTGGCCCCTGCATTCCTGCTAGGAGCCTGCAGGCTAAGGGCCCAGCTTGCCTCTTAGATACTGGTGCCCAAACCTGCGCTCTGCCTGCCCCTGCAGGCGTGCATCTCAGTTGCAGGTGTCCATCTAGACTGGGGTGGTGGTGGTGAGGGGTCGCATGTAGAGGGGTTCCTCTACGTACTGCGCCCACTGCCTACCTCAGGGACCTCTGCCTTTGGGGCCAGTGGGGTTACCCTGTGCTTTGACCTGAGGCAGACTAGAAAAGTACTGGGCGAGTGGGAGGGGGATCCAGTCCAGAAGCACAGGCCTCCTGCAAGGCTTTGGGGAATAGGTGGTGGGGGAAGGAGTTAACCTTGGTTCCGAAATCCAGGAGAGGTTCTCTGTTAACCAGGAGTGGCAGTCCAGGTATTGGAGAGCTGGTATTTCTGGCACCCAGGTGGGCTGCACTAGGCTGTGGTCCCAGGACAGAGTCTGCCACCCACCAACGTGGAGCGTTGACTTTGCACAGTGCCACTGGGTCTGTAGCGCTTTGGAGGAGGCTTGTAGGGTGGTCTCAGGATAGGGTGAGTTTGGTGGCTTTTGTGTGGCAGGCTGGGGTGACAGTTTCCAGCTTTCCATTTGTCTGGGATCAGGGGTGGGAAGTACGGGGATAGCTACTGACTGGTTCTGGGGAGGAAGTGGAGGCCCCCAGCCCCTTCTGCCCTCCTTTTAACTGTGAGATGCTGCCCCTTAGTCCCTTCCCTGACATGAGATTGTGGGTCACCTGATGCTGTCTGCAGGTGCTCTTTCCCCCAACCAAGGATGGAAGACCAGCCAGAGCTGTTCAAGCAGTGTCTGGTAGGTCAGGGAGGGATCCACATTCCTGTTTTTATAGGAAACAGTGACATGATTTGGTGGCAGACACTTCATAGCACCCTTGCAGGGGATGGTTTCCTTTTTTCTTTTCAAAGTCACTCTTGATGACCAAGTGGAGTGTGGGGACAGGAGAATTCCAAGAGGCTGCACCTCCTCCCTATCATGGAAAGTCCCCAGTGTACACTAGATTAGGAGCTGGAGATGTAAACGCTAGATTTGTCTCAGAAGCCCTCAGCTCTGTGTCGATCTGGTTCTGTCTCTTTGAGATGCAGCCAAAGCCAGTGTCACCTTTAAGAAAGGCATAGTGTCACCTTTAAGTAGAGCAGGATGACAGCACAGTGCTTGTGCCACAGCCCGAGGCAGCTTTCGCACTTGAATGTGCGTGCCTCAAATCTGAGCATGTTCACCTCACAGGGAATTCTAAACCAGGCGGTCTAGGGCAGACCAGAGCATCTTCGTGGGTGACAGTACCAAGGACATTGTGTACTGCTGGCCCCTGGACCATACTGTGAAGAACCAGCATAGGAGCAGAAGCCAGGGGTGCCGGCCCCTTTACCTGCATCTGATTGGTGCCCCAGTCCTTTGGGAAGGGCAAGGCTGGCTCCTCCTCCTCTCTGGGGGCTCACACAAGTCAGTTAGGCCCATGTCCCAGACTGGCCTGCTTGTGAACTTGGGGTCCTGGGGCACTCGGGGTTGTCAAAGCCTAGATTGGGTGTGCCCTCTGCTCATCTGGAGCAAGCTGGTGGATGCCTAATGAGTGAGGGGTTGTCAGGACTCTCGAGAACTTTTATTATGCACCTGTTGTATGCAGAACCTTGCAGTGGGCTTAGGGGCATGAGGAAGAGAGACAGAAGATAAATAGTCCTGCATAGAAGGAGCCTGAGGAGATGAACTCCGTCTGAGGCCAAGCTCTGCACCTGCCAGATGTAAACATGGAGTGTTTCACACGACTTCTGGACCTGGCTCCCAATGATCTCAACTGCCTCCTGTACATTTTCTGGTTAACAGACATAAAGCACACAGGCACACAGGAGGTGTTCTGAGCATGTCAGACTTGGCCTTGTCTGTCCCTTACTTCTTTTGGGCCAGCTGAGTCCAGGCAGGGTGTGAGACTTGTAGGGCCCACTGCAGAAGGCATGGGGTGGGGAACGTGGGCTGTGGCGAAGGGCTTGGTGTTGCTGTGACTGAGCATACACTTCTGCCAGAGGTGAAGGGCCACAGTTCTATACGGGGAACTGGGCTGTACATCCCCTATGCTGGTGAGCCCACCATTGGGCAGGGCTGCTGCCTACTCCAGGGCTCCGGGAGGGCCTAGGGAGCATGCCTGGCTCAATTCAGCCTGGCTAGTCTGTTCTTTTTCAGCCTCCAGCCACTTGCCTGTGGTGTAGACAGAAGATGCAGAGGTTCCTTGCAGGACAGACAGATACAATTGAGGCCTCACTGAACAACTTTGTGCTGAGACCACAGCTAGCTTGGTATTACCTCACCCAGTTGGTCCAGGGACAGGAAGCTTCCAAGCCCAGAGACCTTTAAACTCTTGTTTAAGAGACTCCTCTTGCAGTCCTCTATTACTGTGGCAAAATGTGAGTTTCTTAGCTTTAGGGGAAGACCAGAAAGAAATACAGTGAGTGAGCATGTCTTTGTTGACTTGGGGTTAATTTTTTCTTTTCTGAGACAGGGTTCTCTCCTGGCATTGAATTCACTATGTAGTCCAGTCGAACTCATAGTGATCCTCCTGGCTTAGCCTCCCAAGTACTGGGATTACAGGTGTGCACCGCCATACCTAGTCTACCTGGGGTTATTTGTTTTTCTTGTTGTTGTTGATTTCTTCTGACCTCAGCATTGGTAGCTGTCTACATGATAGTAATCTGTATCTGAATCTGCCCTCCTGTGGCTGGAAGCCAAGGCACCTAACAGTTGGATCTGTTGAATGTCTGAAGCCTAGAAGGAAGAGTTCATGGAGAGCACCACGTTTTTCTTTGAATTTCCCATGAAACTTCCACCAATACCAATGTTATTGATGATTGCACAGAACCAAGCAGAGGGAAGGTTCCTTAGGCCCACATGATCCAAGTCTTTGGATTTGCTAACTAATTTCATCATCTTGACACTCCTACTCAGCAGGTATAGTTGCTGTTCCCATTGTACAGATGTGGAACCTGAGATCAGAGAGGTCATATGCTTTGCTAAATTTCTGGGCTTGGGCTAGTAGTGGAGCCAGGATTTGAACTCAGACAGCCTGTCTCCCGATCTCCTCCACTGGTGCTGCCTGCCTTCTCACTGGTGATAATCAGGCCACCCCTGTGCTGGAGGAAGCCCAGCATGCAAGGCTTCACTCTGCCTCCTGGAATCAAGTCAGCACAGCAGTATCTGGTGTCACATGAGGTGGTAATGTGGAGACTCCAAGGACTGAAGGAGATGATCCCTTCTAGCCTTTGATCCTCAGAAGTCTCTCTGCAGAAGTAAACATCTGCCTCCAGTGCCTGGGAGGGGCCCAGAGGTGCAGCCTCCTTCCCTTTCTTGTCCCCTGCAGCTGTGAAGGGATGTCACATCACACATCACTCCGCTCTGGAGCTTGGAGCTGGTGACTCACTCTGGGGGAGATTTCCAGTGGCATTCAGTCTCTGTTGACTTTCCAAACAAGCATTCTTCCCAGGTTTGTGGTGACATTAACTATGAAGATGGCACCTCATTTCAGAGGCGTGTTGGGGGGCCAGCCAGAGAAGAGGGGGTGGATTGTCCTAGTGGCAGCAGGCTGGTAACAGAGAGCCCTACCTAGGGAGTCCTGGCACAGAACCTGGCACAAATGGGCGCTTTTCCTCAGAGTGGCCGGGGAGGATAAAAGCTGTTACTGAGAAACCGGGGGTCCTGGGGGGCCATTTCCTGTCCTCTCTAGGAAGATCAGGGTCTGGGGAGAGGCCAAGAGGGCTTTTTCATGGCCTGTGAGTGGGGGAGAAACTGCGGCAGGAAACACCAAGTTCATGTTTTCATGAAATAGTATTCTTGTTCTTTCAGCCAAGATAACGTCTGTATCCAATGCTGGGGAGGATGTCCCTGTGTCAGGGCTCGCTGCACCTTGCTTTGGGACACTGGTCCTCCTTGGACAAAATGTATTCAACGGGAAGGGAGCAGAGAGAGCCCTTCTTATTTTCCAGCAGATGGTAGAGTCCGCAGAATGAGGAGGGAGTGTTTCTCTGAAGCTCTCTCCCACCCGTCTGACAAGCTAAGCAAATTATTATTTTACAACCTGGAAAATAAATCAGGGAACGCTTCTTTATTGCGCTGGGGCTGAGGAGAGCAAGTGGCAGCGCCTGTGAAATGCAGGTTTGCCCTGGACAGGGTGCGGGGCCCTGCGGAGATTGTGGTCCTCAAGGCTGTGTGTGGGACTCACAGGGGAGTGTGAGCAGTTAGATACATCAGAGAGGCCTGGAGTCAGGTGTCTGGGGACACCAGGATGTTTTTGGTCAGCAGGGTGGCTGTTTGTGAAGCTGTTTCCTCTCTGACACTGTTTGAACAGCTGATCAGGTC